TACAACAGCCATACCGTAACCTGGTCTGCCCCCAGTTCACTGAGGCCACCAGCTGCCTCCCGAGAAAAAGATGTCGGGCAACATCCCTGACCCCCTCAGGTTTTTAACAGTTATCGGTGCTTTTTGGAGCCAAAACCGACCACCTTACCGTATTGCTGGGAAATTAATTCGGGCCCATGATTCAATGGCTTCATCATAATTTTTGGACCAAAATATTCATAATTAAATTTTCTCTATTCCATATAAACTGACTCGTTTCTCATTGCTGTCGCCATAGTTTCAACATTGCCCCCAACCAATTTCATAAGCATCGGCTCTCTGCAAGATCCCATCGCCCTCACTTCGCCCTCACTTCGGAGGCTAATGTGAACCGACCGACGTAACCCAACTATTACACTGGGTCGACTTTAGTCGAACGGCGTTCAACGAAATCGTGCCAGGCAACCGTCCCCCTTTGTCTTACCTATGAGAATTTATTCCTCTTTTTCAGCTTTCCAACCCTCTTCCCAGGGAAACTCAGAATCTATCTCAATATTGCCATTTTTCTCAAAATTACTGTTACAAGCTAATTCATCCGATTGACTTACTTGCGGTGGACCGTCTTTTTAGAGATTTTGCCTAATTTTTTCCAGTTACCACTTGGGCAACTTTTCACAAAGCCGATAATGGAGGCCACAGAAAAACCACAAAGGCGTAAGTATTACTGTTCAATAACTTGATGAAGTCATCTCTTATGAGTCAATCAATAGTGACGGCATTCCTCACTCCTTCTGGTATTACTCAGAATCCGTAGTTTCAGGGAAAATGTTCCAAATATCGATCGAAAAAGCACTCTCAGAGTTGCTGTAAACAGTTATGAAAATCCAAACAATCATAGTTCAAATTAGGTCTGAAATTGGGGTTTTTGTGCTCTTCTAGCCATGTTTCCATCTCGCAATAAAAGAACAAATTTTAATATCAATTCACAACCACATGTACGATGGTTTGTACTATCAACAGTCCCGAATAAGTTAAATTGTGCCTAATAACCTATCAGTTTCTTTCAATGCTTTCATTAAGACCTACAGAACTATCCAAATGTCCTTTATTCAATTTTAGCATGGCGTGGACGAGTTCTGATGGCTTCGGTTGCGATAGGAGCAATAGCAATTTTTCTAGTAAGTGATACTTCGATCCATTATCATTTATCTTGTATCATTAATTACTATCATTAAAATGATGGACCAGGATCACAATAGCAGGGAATCCGCCTTTGGCCATAAATTTTCTTCACTACTTCACATACACTGGACTTTCTCTCTCATATGCTTTCCCTTCTGATCGCTTTTCTTTCATGTGGATGTTAGCTAATTATTTGATTTATTTGTATGTAAGGGAAAGTAAGAGAGAAATGAAGCTAAGCGTGAAAAAGTCATAGAGAGACACCCATGGGGCCCTACTGACCACATAAGAATAAGGGATTTAGGAACCCGCTACAGCGACGTAGCGGCGCAGATGGTCACGCACGCGTAACTGTAAAATTATTCCCCCCCCCCCNGCCCAGCCGGTAAAATAAAATACAAGGAAACACAGGTCTTTACTTATTGGTCGATATCGGTCCATCGGTTCCTATGATAAAGGTTCCTTCGCATGTCTGCCCGAATCGGGAAGAGATGAATTCCATAACAAAAAACCAATTATATTTAGTGGTTATTGAAGCTAAAGTATATAGTTTGACGTTTAATATTTGATGACTCTACTACTTACATAGAAACTGCAAACTATCCATGACGTCGCATTTTTACCAGTATTACTATAACTCCTCCTCATTATAACCTGCCATTACTCGAAATCTGATCGACTGGTAACCAGCATTGGCGAAATCCTATGGAGTATGCTACCCACTGATAAACTTGACTATTGGTAACTGGATCGTGTTTGTTTCAATAAGGTTCAATCCATTAGGTTCAATCCATTGGATGAGGAGTTTCTGCGTTGAAATTTGCCTCACCGAATTTCAATCACAAAATAACTCTTTTCACCTCACCTTCCCCTCCGGCTTCAATCTTACCACCTCTTCTCCTGCTTCGCACCAGACATACTACACACCAGCAAAGTTTTGAATTCTTCTCTGTCGAAATACCATTCCTTCCTTACTCGTCAAATCAGCAAATACGGTTTATCATGGGGCTACTCGTAAAACCCTGGAAAGCTGTCCGATCGTTCAAAACTAAGATGACAACAGTGCAACCTACAGAGCCATCTCGAGTGTCATCCTATAAGAACGCTGCTCCTTCCGCTTTTACACCTCCCCCAAAAAAACCTCATGACGTGAGAGTTTTGAACAGCTCATTTGGGGACATGCTCGTTTGACAATTCTTCAACAACCTATTTTCAGGGTATATATTTTTCGGGACAAGATGTGCAACAAGTCATCAGCCTTGCTAAAGAGAAATTAATAGGTATTTATTTACAGTAAAATTGATTTACTTCAAGTATCTGCAAAAGCTTTACGTTACACCTGGTAATTCTTAACTAGATGATTGAGCAGTAGCTCTACTGCTGATCATTCACTGATATCTCTATTTTTGCTCAAGTAAACTCCTGTTTTCAGGAGTAAGTGAAGCCCCTCCAGCGGCAAGTGAAAGTGAGCCTGTTCATGTGAAAAAGGATGAGCAAAAGCTTCGCCAAGAACAAATGGAAAAAGATCGACAGCAGCAGCAACAACATATAGATGAGCGAGAGAAATTGAGGAGGCAGCAAATTCAGCAGCAGCAGGAGAAGCGTAAGCAGCAGCTCCAACAAAGGGAAGAAGAAGAGAAAAGAAGAAGAGAAGCGTATGAAAAACAAGAGCAATTGAGGAAACAACAACAACAAGAACACGAGGAACAGCTACGATTGAGGCAACAACAGCAACGTGAAGAAGAGGAGAAAAGATTGAAAGAGCAACAAAAACGTGAAGAAGAGGAACGTAAAAGGCAGCAAGAAGAACAGGAACGATTGAAAGTTCAGAAGCAAAAGGAAGAGGAGGAAAAACTGAAGATTCAGAAGCAACAGGAGGAAGAAAAACTGAGGTTGCAAAAGGAGGAAGAGGAAAAAATAAAACGGCAGAAGGCGGAGGAGGAAAAATTGAAGCTGCAAAAGCAGAAAGAAGAAGAAGAAAAACTGAAACAGCAAAAAGTAAAAGAAGAGCAGGAGAAGTTAAAACAGCAGAAAGAGAAGGAAGAGCAGAAGAAAGCGGAGCCGGTGAAGCAGCAACAACAACAACAGCAAAATCCACCAAAACAGCAACAGCAACAGCAGCAGCAACAACCACAACAACAACAACAACAACAAGCTGCGGAGCAAAAACAACAGCAGCCACAAGTCCCCAAGCAGGAGAAGGTCAGTGGTATTTGATCTCGCAAGAACTATTTTTTAGAACAATCCGATGATGTGTTCAGTACGAAACAATGTTCATAGAATACTATTAAAAATCCAGTCTTTTTTATTATATCTTGAGTAAAAAATTTTGGAATTTTCTGGGATCAATTTGTATTAATCTTCGACTTAGCTCCGCATCGGCTTTACTTTTGGGTGAAAGCGCGGCGGTACGCAGCGCGTCCAGAGTGATGTCACTGCGACGCTACGCGGGAAGGCGAGCAGCGGCTGCGGCGCGGTATCCAAGCCATGCCCATTCGTGATGATCTTTTCAGCTCTTCGCGACGTTAATGTCGCTTGAAGACAGTGGCATGACTCATTCTGTAGCACGGCTTACTAAGCATCATTTAACGTTCTGAACAATGGCCTACCACAAGGAACAATAGAACGGGATGTGTCCGAGCTTCTCGGCTACCGACGCATAACCCGCCACACTTACACATTATTGATTGTCGGTGCACGCGATCTTGCGCATTAGTAAATTCCTTTGTCTATCTCGTTCTTTATGTAGTACTATCCAAGTTCGCCCAATGGATCTAGTCATCTATGAGAAGACTTATTGTTAGTATCTATCATATGACTTGATGGAGTAGTATTGGATCCCTTGCAGATTACCGATAAGCTCACCAGCGCGTCATTGGTGGACAATCGATTGGTTGACGCGGTATCGCGTGACCGCGACGCATTCTTTCCCCTATTCTTGTCTACAACGTCATCCTTTAAATTTGCGAAAACGCTTGTTATAAGAGGGGTGCAGCTGGCGTCACGAATACAGCTAGTCAACATATCAACATAGAGATGACTGCTATGTGTACCTTTCCACTCCACCCATTTTCAAAGTAGAAAAGGGTCGCGACAGATTCTTTCAATCGAAATTGTCAATCCCATGAAAATCGGATGAGCAGGGCGAGGAGCGATATTATAATTTGGCTTCAGTGATATCCCAAAGAATCAATGATGGATCTTAGAATCGCAGCGAAATAATCAAGTTAAGTTATAATACAATGGAATATCCGCCTAAGATGGTCTTAACGATAGCCGCAAAACACCTGTTAAAATCCCAGACATGCGTAGTCACGAAAAATAAATTAGATTATCACAAATGTGGATAGTATGAAACGGGTGCCTTTTCGCGCGTCCGTCGAAAGTAGGTCACGCCGCAGCCGTCGCACGCGGCGCGTCAACCCGCGATTCTTGACGGACGTCGCAATGTCAGTGGGGCGTATGAGAAGAGTCCAGTCAACTCAAAGAAAAAACCACACTGATGCGAACCATTTGCGCCCCACTGATTCTTAGGGGTACTGTAATATCAACCTTGGATCGTGATGGGCTGCTCTGCGCGCGAAGTGGGCGGGTTGATCTAGATTCACCGGACGCGCGGAACGGACAATCCCGGCATGAAGTAGGTCAGTTCCAGTTGAGAACAAAATGAATATTTACAAGACTTATAATGCAATGACAATAATCTATTATGTTTGGGAACAAATATTCAATTTAGTGACTTAGAACTCTTGTAAATATAAAAATGTATGAGTTCAGGTTGCGAAAGCACAGGAACAACCACCAGTTGTACCAGCTGCATGAAAGTCTAAATGGTTCATACTCACTCGAAACATGAGTGAGTATCGATTGATTGTATTGGTTGCAAGTTTCGAGGTTACATTTTATTTAGGTTTACGTCATATTAGAATGGGTTTTTGTTTGAGGCGTATAGACTTTCACTTCGTTTCAATTATGTTCATGTGACTTTTCCAAGCTACGCATTTTACAATTGATTTTGTGAAAAATAACTGATTTAAAAAGTAATTTGTACCGACTAAATCTGTGTTTTTTATGGGTTCCTTCGATGAAGGAAGCCAATTGTTTTACTTCGTGGTACATTTTGTTTTCCATTATTTTTTCTTGCATTCGAATTGTTTTTGTCATAGATAATTTTGTAATCGAATACGAAAAGTTGAAACAATAAACAGCTTACTTTCCACGTAAACACAAGCTGATTTTCTTGCACAGTGTTGTTCTCAAGCCGAACGTTATAGCAATGCGGGCTTCTTCGATGAAATATGCCACTCGGATCACGGCCACGAAATTCACTACAGTTGAATCACCATCAGGACGTTGTCCTTTTTTATACATGAACAGTCGTATGTCGTTCTGAAGTAGTCCTGTATTAGTTCCAAATCAGAAATTTTACCTGAAGGTAGGTATAGGGACGCGGTTTAGGGACGGGGAGAAGTGAACGGAAATAATGACCGGTCGAAGTCTGTAGGCCAGAATCTCCTTCTTTGGAGATATTAGCCCTATTACGCCTTTAGGAAAAAATGGGGATGCAAGACAGAACGGGTTACACGAAGATTTTTCGCATTTGCCTCTGAATCTGCTACTCGAAAGTTTTTTGGTACCCCCTTGGATCGCTGAGATATCATTCGCCTACCACAGCCTATCCAACCTGTACATAACTCTTCTCGATGTACTCGTCCTATCGCAAGTCAGTGGCCATTTCATTCAAAAAAAATAAAAACGATCCATATCTACTGGCCCTCGTGGTATGGTGAGAGGGAATCACGGTTTGAACCCCGTACGTCAATTTCTAAAGGCACAATTCATGACAAAAATATTTCCTACGATTTCCCCCTAGGATGTCCCAGCGGACCTCTAAGGCTAACACAAAGGACACTGTCGGGGCGAAAAACTCAATAGATCGGGCATAATATGAGCCCATTACCGTATTCGTCGACGCCGACTATGTGTCAGACGAGTGCCGAGATTATGCAGGCTGCGCTATTCGCACCAGGACCCACAAGGTCAGCATGCAGTCAGTTGATCGCCGAGTGGTGAGGAGATATTTCACTGTTATTCTGTTATTCCTTTTGCTGCCGCGGTCAATTTTTCAGTCTTTACGAGTTTTGAAAAAAACTGACTTACTTTTGCTGTTAATCGTGATTTTGTTAACTGTGATTCTGAATGTATTGAATGAATTTCAGAAACATTCTTGCTTACTGTAGTCAGCTGTACGCAATGACACACATTGAATAGCTAGTAACACCATTTCACGTT